TAATGTGACGTGCGCCGATTCATTTCACGTGGACGCCGCAGAATGTGCGCTAAAGCCTGACTCCCACGATGAGATTCTGCTCGCTGTTTTCAGACGCGACGTTGCTCGGACTGCAAAAGCGTGGACCGTAGCTGAGATGGTGGACGTCGATACTGAAAACCGCAAGTAGAATCGGGCATTACAAGTCGGTGATGACCACTGGTAACAATAATGATAAACATCTTGTATCTGTTTACACTTAGCCTACTTACCCCAACCAACCTTCAAAAGTGTTTTGAGGCCTGCACTTAGTTCTTATCGCAATTACCGGGTCAACGTTTGGTTTCCGGGCCGCTGTCGTTAAACGAGCTGACGACAAAAAGCAGCCAAGTTTGAAAGAGCAGACGACAGTTCGAACGCATGAGTAATGGGGTACGGGCAAGAAGCACCGCGTCCCGCGTCAACAAACCACTCGAATGTCACGTTGTCGGCGTCTGTGTGAGTCTACCTACTCTTTTTCGCGTTGGAATTGTCGATTCTACGTCCTCATCGCAATGTCTTACCACTTCAATCGCTTAAGCGAAATTATCAAGGCTCGTTACGCCGCTAAACTTTCCGTAAATAATTTGACGTGCGGCGATTCATTCGCATGAACGCTGCAGAATGGACGCCAGAACCATGATGAGATTCTTCCAGCTATTTTCGGTAGCGACGTCGCTCGTGTTGCAAAAGTGTAGAAGGTAGCGGCGATGATCGACGTCGATACTGAAAATCGGAAGCGGGAACGAGCGTAACAAGTCGGTGATGACCACCGGTACCAATGATCAACATCTTGTATCTACTTTTTACACCGAGCCTACTTAAGTCTTTTGAGGTCTGCAATTACTTCTTATTGCAATCACAGGGTCAAACTTTGGTCTACGGGCCGCTTTTGTTTGAACGAGCAGACGACAAAAAGCAGACGTTTGAAAAAGCAGACGAAAGTTCGAACGATCAGGCGGCCGTGTGAATTTGAAGACGCACTGAACTCGTGGGTGGTTCGGACAACTTGGCGGTTTTCTCTCGTTTATGTTGGAACAAAGCAAATACATCTGGCGACCACAAAGTGTTGCCCGCGCACGCAATCGTAGTTCGACAGCGTCTGGTTTGCCCTTTTCACGGCTACTATCCACGTTCTCGGACGAACGGAGGGGGCAAAAACACATGAATACTGATCTTCAAACCTTTCCAGACTCTCTCGGTACAACCCCCGTCGCAGCTTTTTGACGAGAAAGCAGGTTTTTTGTCTCGTTTCTTCCAAGGGAACACAGGAATGCATGTCTGGCACGGCGACTTCTGCCCACCGCCACAGACCGGAAGTGCGTCCGGCGCGCCACCACCGCGGCGTGACGTAGGAGAGTTGAGTTGGTGTATACAAGTTTGTATGTCGTGATGGAAAGGCACCAGGAGAAGAAAACAAGCGGAAGCAGGGTTTCATTTGTTGATATATTCAAGTTAAAAATTTCCGCTTTTAACCATATTCATGTTTGTAGTGGACGATTCAGACGAGCCGAATGTACTTTTACCCCACATCGCACGAGCATTTTGCAACAACCTTAAACATTTCAATTTAACAAAGTCCCCCGTTAGAACTTAACAATAGTGGCGTCTCGATGTTGCTGTCCGCAAGACGAGCAAGGGAGAAAAAGTGTAGGGCTTTTGGAAGGACAGTCTTGAAAACTACAAATGCTTCTTTGTAAACGTTGAATTTGTTGTTCAGCTCAAAAATAAAAAAAAAGTAAAAAAAGTTGTATCTTTTAAGTGAATAAGCTCTGGATACAGGGCTGCGTTCGATGTCTGCCAACCTCTGATTTTGTTGTAACTGTAGGTCTTGTTATGAAGTTCAGAAATGGCTGTAGTCGGCCTTAGATTTCTTAGTGTATGAGGATTCGCGGGACCAAAGAAAGGGGCTCAGTTTGAAACGGCCCTCCTCTTTTGCCTTTTCCTACGACTAAAAGTTTTGCTTTGTGCACCGCAGTTTCGGGCACTCAAAAAAGAATCAACGCCCACCAGCTCTTCTGCACCCGAAAACGTTTAGCAAGCGAGGACAACAGAAAATAATTCATAAGATTAGTTGCCAAAGAGTTGACGAGATCCTGCACTTCGTAAAGATATTGTTTTTGTACATTCAAACTCTCCCTGTTAGAAATAAAATAAAAATTACCCCACTGGACGAAAAAAGGAACGCCGTTACTCTTTTCGTTCCAGTAAAAATGTAACGCGTTCCCGTTCCAGTTCCAGAGATACAAAATGGAACGGCGGCGTTCCTTCGTTCCTCCTAAAAGGAACGCGTTCCAGGAACACCGTTCCTTGGAACGCCGTTCCGTACAACACTGGCTAACAGCATCAGTATGGCTTTCACACAAGTGGAGTTGAAACAAGCATTCTTTCCCCAGCGTTTACAATTTTATGTGTTTTCAAATAACGCTCTTGCTACGATTCCTTTCAATAACAAGAGACGCCTATTTAGGACTAATAAAAACTGCAGTTGTAGCAATTAAAAAAAAAAATAAAACAAGCAAAAGAAAACCAAAAAAAAAGACTAGCAGCTGTATACATTGATTGAGCGAAATCCTATAGGTAAGGCAGCAGGTCAAACGTCTGAGAAAGGAGTAAAATTGAACTAAAAGAGATCATACTTTTCCTTGCATGGAATGAGATAAAAAGTATATTTATACTCTTTACGTTTTGTTGTGGCAATCGTTTTGTAATATTAACACATTACTTGTTGAATTTTAGTTAGACTAGCAGACGATCACGACCAAATGCAAAAATGAATCAGGCATCGACCATCGCAAACCCTCTCTCTCATGCAAACACCTAAACTGACTTTGGATCAAGAAATGGAATTAATTATAATTAATTCCATTTCTTGATCCAAAGTCATTTTAGGTGTTTGCATTAGAGAGAGGGTTTGCGATGGTCGATGCCTGATTCATTTTTGCATTTGGTCGTGATCGTCTGCTAGTCTAACTAAAATTCAACAAGTAGTGTGTTAATATTACAAAACGATTGCCACAACAAAACGTAAAGAGTATAAATATACTTTTTATCTCATTCCATGCAAGTAAAAGTATGATCTCTTTTAGTTCAGTTTTACTACTTTCTCAGACGTTTGACCTGCTGACTTGCCTGTAGGATTTCGCTCAATCAATGTATCCACAGCTGCTTGTCTTTTTTTTTTTTTGCTTCTTTTATTTATTTTTTTTAATTGCTACAACTGCAGTTTTTATTAGTCCTAAATAGGCGTCTCTTTTTATTAAAGGAATCGTAGCAAAAACGTTATTTGAAAACAGATAAAATTGTAAACGCTGGGGAAAGGATGCTTGTTTCGGCTCCGCTTGTGTGAAAGCCATACTGATGCTGTTAGCTTGGTTTCCTTTTAATGAACATTACGAAATGATTGCATTAGCGCGTTAACTTGCGTTGATCTTTTTTTTCTTCTTCCCGGTGTTTCGATTGAACAGGTGGGACTAACAGTAAAAGCGTGTAAGGCGCTGTAGTGCAAGTGGATGATTTCGAAAAAAGGATCACAGTTCGAAAATAAGACACGCGCAAAATACACACAAAAAAAAAAAAAAGAAGTTCCTAGTGCGATTTGAACCCGGAACTTTCACGCCGCGACGACAACTACCGGCGCTTTAACCTCTCGACCACAACAGAGGGCGCGAGGCGCGGCGCCGGCGGAGGTATATAAAAATACCGCTACCGCTTTTATCTCGTCTGGTTTTTTCTTTATTTTGGCTCCTATTTGCCCTCCCTGGCCGTAACTTTACCTGCCGCTCCTACAGTATAAAGGTGCGGTCAATTAGATTCCAGTTGAAAGTCCCTCCAATTCGTTTCTGCGAGCGAAATTAGGCTTTTGTTCTTGAAGCGATGTGGATCTCTCCGCCATTAGGGAGGGACGCTAGGTACTTCCTTGTCCCCATGGAGCTGGTCACGTGACGTAAAAATCCCTCCTGGCCGCGGCCGCGTCCGCAGCCGCAAGATGAGCAAACCGGCCCAGGAGGCGGAAATACGCGGGACGTAAACAATGTGAAAAGACTGTAAGAGAGCATGCGATGGGAGGCGCTCACTTGATCGAATGACGTTTTAGCGAACGCCCACGTTTCACCGAATGACACTTTAGCGAATACTCGGACGCCGCAAAGCGGCGTTTTCGGGTGGGCCAAATGGGTTCACATTTTTGAAACGAGGCGCCGCAGACTGTCGCCGCGAAGCGGCGTAAGCGCAGCGCGGCGGATGGGTTAACGCGCGCCCCCGTTATTCGCTAAAACGTCAATTCGCTCAAAAGCCGCTGTTCGCTAAAACGTCATTCGCTCATGTGATATGGACCCGCATGCGAGCTGGTGGTAGCTAATCATGTCGTTTAACACCTAAAACTGTGGTGCAAAAAAAAAAAAAAAAAAAAAAAAACAAACAAACAACCTTAGTCTCAAACTTAGCTAACTTATTTATTTCCCAAGCATTCTATATATGCCCACACAGCCACTCCTCCCCCTTCTGGTTTGAGCAAGCTGCTGATATGAATCAAATAATCCATAATCCGTAATCCAAATCCTTATCGATGACGACCACGCCAAACTATAACAAAATCAGCTTGATTTTTCTGTTAATTAAACTGCTCTATGCCATTTTGTGTAAGCTGGATGAACCTTAAACTGAGTTTATCAGCGATTCTTTCTCTTGGGGGTGTTCCCGTGTTAGAAATATCAGATGGAGATTATGGACCGGGGGGGGGGGGGGGGAGGGTGTAGAGGAGCTGGACTCAGGGGACAGGGGCAGTGGGGGGTTAGAGGGAGGGCGGCAACAGTATAAAATAGGAGAATTCAGCATTCGCCGAACAGGCGCTTCCACCATCCTCTCACTATTATCGTTCTGGATGGCAGCGCTATAAAAGTTACAGCGGCGCTCTTTGGAGCTTCTATCAGGAACGCTGCCGCGCACGCCGAACAGGAGCGACTGGCTCACCAAGGGCGTCCACGCTCTCCCGGGCACGGCGGGAGAGACGATGGGGCGGCGAGGAGGACGCCGTGGATAAGGAAGGGGGGAGGGGATGAGGCGGCGTGAGCCGCGTGCAGAATCGATCGCGTGTGCGGGCTGCGTCGAGAGTGTGCATGCGTCATGGGCCGTGAGTGGAGAATGTTGACTCACGCGCAGCCCGGCCCGGCTTCCTTCCCCGGCGCGGCTGTCGAGGAGGCGCCGACATGTCCTCCAGCGAGGAAGCGCCGCCATTTCACGGCGCCTTCACGAAGGACGTTCTGTACGAGCTTCACCGGCGGCAGCCCCAGCGCTTCCACTTCATGACCAAGTTCAACGCCAAGAGCGCCTCGTGGAAGGACTTCGAACTGGTCGTGCTCGACGGGGAGCTGCGCGACTTCGCGCGCTGCGTGCACTGCAAAAACTTCGTGTCCTACTCGAGCAAGAAGGGAACCGGCAGCATGCTCAGGCATCGCTGTCACGCCAAGGAGTCCTGCTTCACAGGTGAGCACCGGCGGCGGGACACTTGCACACCCTTTTCTTCCCCTCCCCTTGAGCTTCTATGATCCACGCACAGGTCGTTCCCGTAGCTCTGAGCACCACTACATCTATTTGCACCCGATAAAATTTCAAGGCTATCGAATGAGTGAAAGTTCACGTTAGGAGTGGTACTTCTCACGCAAATTACGAGCAGCTTCCTGCAAAATCCATACCTGGGATCAGTAATATTGCGATCTACCGAAGCAAAGCAGGCGCGTACGAAGCCGTCCACTTTCTGGCGCCTATTTTTTCCTCTGTTTCTAAATTCTCTTATAAAAAAAAAAAAAAGAAAAGAAATAAAACAATTTGCGCACGCAAAGCAGCCGCGCGCAAATGTGACATCATTGCAGCTCATGCAAGTAGACCACTGTCCACATGGCGAAGTAAAGATCGGGGGCCAATGCATATACGTATTCCAGTCCAAAATGAGCGCCACCAAACACTAGGTAACAGCGACGACGGCAGAGGGCGAAATTAGGATCCCTCCAAACTTTCGGTCCCCGACCAAGTTGGTGAACACCTAGCGCCCTTATTGCATTCCTGTTATCACCGAGCTACGCGCGCGCGCTTCATTCGGCCCAGACCCACGCGCCGAGGTTCGTTCGGAAGCGTGCTTCGATTGTTCTGCACGGGGGAATTTATCGATTATCTCAACCGCCGATTTGCTATGTGTTTGCTCTCCTCTCTCGTCACTGTACGGCCTGGGCAGAACGGCAGGAGTGGCACCTTTTCAGACATGTAAACGTTACTGAAATAAAGAAACTAAATACTGTTACTCTTTACTCACTCAAAAGGAAACTAAGTGCGTTACTCGTTATTGCGAATCAAGGTAAACGCGTTAACTGAGCTTAAAAAAAAAATAAAAAAATAACGCCTTATTTTATCGTTACCCTGCCTCTTTTCTTTTTTTTTTTTGTTTTTTGTTTTGTGAAGCAGTAGTTATTTCCAGTATTTGTTTTTGTTCATCATTACTTGTTTTCTAACGTGTTCGTTCCGGGATAAATGTGGTTGTACTGACGTACCTTGCATACATCTTTTTATGATCCATCTAGCGTTTTCTCGCCATCCGTATTACAGGCGTGAGCTGGGCTGAGAACTAGGTAGGCTACTTGTTTTGTACACGGTCCTCTAGATAAAACCAAATGCCTTTAGTCGTTACTTCGTCATAAACTAACAAAAAAGTTACTTGTTCCTGCACTTAAAAAGTAACTTACTTAATTACATAGAAAAGTAACTAGGCTCGAGGAACGCATTACGTAAAGGTCTGCACCTTTTCCGTTCCGATTATAGCTTCTTTCGTTGGCCAGGCGCTTTTCACTGCGTGCTGCGTCTCCACGTGCTATATCGGCGACGATTGCGTGAGCTGGGCTCCGTTCCAGTGCGCGACACTGCTGCTGCCTGCAGCCACATTGCTATTCAGCGGCACGCGGTTCCGCCGTGATCAATCTTTCCGAACGAGTGTTAAAGACAAATTGTTTCCTAGCAGGAAAAAAGTGTAGTTGAATCTGCATACTGATGCTCTAACTGGTCTAGAAAATGCCACGCTTGCAGAACTGCTGTCTTTGGGTATCCTACGACTAGACTCGATATATTTCGATAGCCACGAAGCAGTGCTAATCCCTAATCAGTTTGAGGGCATCGGTGGCCAAGTGTGTTAACGCAACGCAGCTCGGACCACGTGGACCGAAAGGTCGCACTGCAGAACCGGGGGATCCCGGGCTCAGTCCTCACCCTGTGCACGTTTCGGTCTGGGTGAGCATCAACCGGCGTGCGGTCGTGTAGCACTACTGCGCGCTGCACGTTAAAGACCCCCAGGGCCGATGCACTGGTTAAATTTCTCATCTACAGCTGAGATACCAGACGACCATTGGGGCTGACTGTCCGCTATCCAAACACAACACAAATATTGATCCGTCTTTTTTCTTTTTTTTTGGATGAGGGTCGCAGAGAAACTGCCAGACGGTTTTTTCCCCCGAACGGGAATGGAATCTTCGATATAATAAAATATTTTTTTGTATAGTGCTCGGTGGTGACGCAGCGTAATTTATAAACAAAACTAAAATAAAAGGCGGTCGTCACTTTCTATGAATCCACTCTGGGACCCGAGGCTCGTGTGCTCCTCTTGACACTTTGCGATAGAGCTCGCCTGTTTATCTTTCCGACGCGCTCCTTTACCGTAAAACACTTTCCTATCTCTTGGCGCCCCACGCTAAAAGGGGCCCGGTGGATCGCTTCTCCCAAGAACTACAAAGAGTATTAGAGCCCTATGCCACACTCAATGATAATAATAAAGTTACAACTGCCAAATATTCCCACTGCTGTGTCCTGTGACCACGTGAATTCTTCCACATCCCTACGGCAGAAAATGAAAGAAAAAGGTCGAATCTATCGGCGCTTATCGTGATGTAACAGCTTGAACACTAAACGATTACACATAGACAGGACAGACACACGCAGCTTTGTGTGTGTGTCTCTCTTGTCTATATGTGATTGTTTAGTGTTCAAGCTGTTTCCTCACCGTCAGTGACGATGTACTTGGAGACAACTTTCCTTGACAATGAAGCCAAAGCTATCGGCACCCGTGTCTCTCTCGCACATTGGGCGCCCATCACAGCTGTGCTCGGGCTGTCTTCACTTCTTCGGAAATGCCAGGAAGAATTGTCCACCAGTATGACCCTTTTCAAAGTGGTTCGATCTATCTGTTTCCAGCCTGCTTTTCACGTTGCTAACTTGCATTCAACGACTGCATAATAGGCAGAAATAGCAGCTAGTAACTGTCAAGACCTCACTATCATTGGGCCGTAGGATCGTGCAAATGTCATGCCCGTATATTCTGTCTTGCTGCTTACTTCGCATGTCATTGTAAGGCCGACGTGATAGCGGTGTTTCTGCGAGGACTTTCGAAAATTCCCAAGTCTAGTGTGTTTGAGAGAGAAACGGACTATTTTTGGGAACGAACTAAAACTGCCTGCCACGACGAACGTACGGATAGCAAATATCATACTAATTATTCGCGATAAGCTTTAGTAGTTATCAGATTTGGGATTTTTACGTACCAAACCAACGTAGTGCACCTGGCACTCCTCAGCGGAGGACTGGGTATTAATTTCGACTACCTGGGGATATCATTTGACGTCCACCGAAATCTCGATTACACGGCGCTTTCTCCGCAATAAGCCTTCTTCAGATTGCGGGCACCTCTGCCGGGATTAACCCTCCGCCCATGGTATCCGTAGGCTCAATTTTTTAGTTTTTTGTGTGAAAATAAAAATATGGTTTTAATTAGAAACTTGGTCATCGAAAACCTCCAAACGATCAGTCGCTTTTTCGCATCGCAGGCCTTCCTCTTGTTGCACGAGCGGCAACTTTAGCGTCACACGTGCTTCAAATCATCCGAAAATTGACTGATATAGGGTAGTAAAGTTGATATATGGGCTAGTGGTAGCAAGGTACCTCAAATATACTGATTTAGGGGTTTTCGATTACGCTCAGCAAGTTTCTGATTGGAGCCATATGTTTATTTTCACCAATTTAAAAGATAATGAGGTGATTACAAGCGTGCGATGTAACTAGACTGTTAAGAAACTTATGGGTCACTTGTTCTATACCGTCGTTGTGACGTGTGGTTATACTTTCGCCGAAACCTCCCGAGCACTGCCCGGTTAGTATTCGCCTTAGCAGAGAAACGAACAAATATTTCTTTAAGCGGGTTAGACGACGGCACTTCAAATGATAATAGCAACGTCTCGTTGCAATAGACCGTCTGCGAGAGTCCTGAAAGGCCGCGCGTGGAGCGCCCAAAGAATCATGGGAACATCCTGTATGCTCATGGTTGCTCCCGCAGCATCTACCACGTGACGCTGAAGAGATAACGACACACACTGGGTGGCGCAGTTGCTTGCTTGCTCTCGTTCGCTCGCCTGCGTTTCTTCCCTCGCCTCCGTCGTCTGCTACAGCCTTTTTTATACAGGATGTTCCCAGCATTCCGTTCGGTACCGCGGAGGACGCTGGATGTTTCGCAGAAGGTCAATTGTCACTTCACTGTTACGGAACACAAAGCCCCAAGCGTAATGAGCCTTTGTTGTCCGAAATTCCCAGGTCACCATCAAGGAAGTCCTTCAGTCGTCCCGCCTCCAGCGCGGGCTTCGATACAAACGCTTGGACGTAGGGTGCCTTCATGTGCGCTACTTGGACGTTTTGTGAACCTCGAGCGTGCGGGTACACAACAAGGCAACGGGCGCGTGCTAAATACCGGGCAACCGCAACAAACGCCCCGCGCTTCTTTTTCTCGTCAACTCTGGCCTCTTAAAGACTGAAACACAAATGACATCCTCGTGCTCAGGCCTCTCCAACGCTACTGGCGGCGAGATGTTTCGGTGGCGCCCGCGTTTGGTTGCCGTTCGGGACGTCATTACCTTGTGAACAACAAGTTCGATGGTGTTTGTAATTGGCATGGTGGAAGCCTGAAATGATAGCGCTGTCAAAGCAACACTGCGAACACCGTCAAAATTTAAGTTCTTGCATTCCTCTTATTTCCGTCGTTGAGACATCCTTTGCTGACGTCAGCATTCGGCCAATTGTGGTGGGCCGCCCACAGCGACGCTTTCGATCGCTCACGTCGCCACACGAGGTTGTACACGAACGTTTTACATAGACGCGACGTGAATGTGCACACGCGCCATTAACTCCTTAAAAAAACATAACGCTTACGTGCATACTCCGTGCCTTCAATCGTGTCCTCTCCCGTGCCGCATATTGGTTAAGGGGTCCATAAGTGAACATTGTAGCACGACTGCATCTCTCGCCCACGACACCATATCTTTTCGAAAGATAAGCTTTTCAAGGATCTGTTATATGCTATGGTTATACTGAATACCAGTTTCGTAGTCGTTACGAAAGAGGAACGAAATTCGGCACTCCTGCACTTACAAACCAAAAGGTGCTCGTTACCAACCTGCGTTACCTCAAAAAGGAAAGCGTTTCCGTTGCGGTTCAGTGTTGGCGGTAACGCGTTTCTTTTTTCTGTAACGTAGATTTACCATTACTCGTTACATCTTCCCAAGACCTAGAAAAGTACACTTAAATGTTTAGAGCGCAGCTCTTCGGCGCCCATTTCCGGCTTGAGCGGCGTCACCGTCGGCGTCGGCGTAACCGCGCGGTACATTATGGGTAAGTTTCCCCGCTAAATTTAGCGGAAAGAATTCCCGCCAAATTTAGTTGAAAAATTTTTCCCTCTAAATATAGCGGGGAAATTTTTTTGCTAAGTTTAGTGGAGGAATTTTCCCGCTAAACTTAGCGGGGAAATTTTTGCCGCTAAATTTGGCGGGGAAACTTTTCTTGCTATATTTGGCAGGGAAAGTTTTCTGCTACATTTAGCGGAAAATTTTCCTGCCAAGTTTAGCGGAAAACGTTTTCCAGCTAAATTTAGCAAACAAATTCCCCCGCAAAACTTAGCCGAAAAATTTCCCGCTAAATTTAGCGGGAATATTTCCCCGCTAACATTAGGGGGTAAATATTTCCGCTAAATTTAGCGAGGAAATTTAGTCATAATGCACTGCGCGGTTCCTTTCTCCTCCTCCTCCTCAAGAGCTACGCTCTAATTCGGCGTTACAGGGGATTGTAAACGTCTTTCATTTTTTTTTCTTATTCCTTTAATTTGTTTCACCTTAAGTCCAGACGCAGCCGACGCTACGAGCTGATGAGACCAATCAAACAGCGTCAAAAGGGAACCATCTTGGTGTTCGTCATGTTTCTGGACCTGCTCTATTATCGCTGAACCAATCATAAACACATAAGGCCTAGTGACTTGCGCTTTTCACTCTGCACTTGATTGGTCCCATTAGCTCATAGCGTGGACTGCGTCTGGATTTAAGTTGAAATGAAGTGTAAGCACCACCATCGTCGATTATTGCACTCATTCCACATACCATTAAAATTTTGCCTGCCTTTTCCCCACGCAAAAAGTCCCACTTTAGAAACACCCCAACGCCCACGCCCTTCGTCCCGGTGTCGGAAAACGCTGTTGCAAAAACAACAACTACAGAAACACTGTTACCGTCAGTTATACATAAAAAGTAACATGCGTTACTTTTTATCGGTAACGGCAACGCGCCCCTTGAGGTAACGTAGGTCGGTAAGGCGTTCCTTTATTTTGCAAGTAACGAGTAACGCGCATTTCGTTCCCTTTATTCGGTAACGCTTACAACTCTGTCGTTTCCGATGAAAAGGTAACGCGCGTTGCTTTTGCGTTACTTTATATTTACGAATTAAAACGTAGTACTGTTCTGACGTTAGAGGTATGCCGTATGAGTGAGGGTATCTGGGGAGAGTGCAATAATTTGTGACTTTGGCGCCAAGAAACACAGACGCAGAAATTGGTTTTAAGTTTCGACAAGTAACCAGAAACGTAAGTACGTTCGACGTATCTCGGAATGAGCGAGGTATGTATACGTTATGCGTATACTGTTTCGAAAGTGTAACTAGTACGTGACTACTTGTAACGCGACGCCGCCAACCCCGCTGAATAGGCACACTGTTGTTACAGCAAAGTTCTGTACGGTTTGTGTTCTATCACGAGGCCATATCGCACCTGTCCTGACTTTCGTCTCTGGAACACACGCGTGCATAGAGTTACAATTTTTGGCGCACATATGGAAGCGTGTACAGCTCTCTCAGCTATCCGGAGCGTTCGTATTTGTTGCCGTTTCAGCTCGCTCGATCTCACAAGGTCACTCGAAGACGCTTCAGTTCAGTTGGCTGCACTCAGCACTTCGTTTTTTTTTTGTTTTTTTTTTTGAAAACTGACGATGTCTAGTGATGTCACGAATCTGCCCCGGTTCGAGTTCGACCAGGTTTACCTTTTTCGAACTTTCTGCTCCAGGTTCGACAAGAAGTTCGACATAAGCTCGAATATTTTGCGCATGCGCGTAAAAAATAAATAAACTAACAAGTTAGCACCACTTCGCGAAGGAAGGGTGCAGAATTCTAACAAACTAGCTTAGTTATTAAAAAACAAAACAAAAAAAACTTCAATATTTGCTATCATAATGCCGTTAATAGGCCTTTTTTTTTTTTTTCAAAATTCAGGGCCATCTGGCGGCTCCAGTAGCAGTTGTTTAACCTTTGCGGTACCAAAGGCGGTCATGAAAATGTATTTCGATGGGCATAGCCATTTTCGCACGTCAACGACAGACGAGAAAGGGTTTCTCACTTCCTCGTTCCTTCTCGATTTGTCTCAGCGATGATGTGAACGAAAGACCTGTCCATTGCGAAGCGCCCACCCACGAACCCTTTGACGAAATTCCTCCTCATCCCGATGCTTTAGGGCCGACTTTGTGCCAAGGGAGTGCTTGGATCCGGGTTCGAAAGAAATGATGACTGAATTAGGGTGGCGATGCGGGCTAGTTGGTTCATAGTTATTACAAACAACACAACGCAAAAAAGAAAAAAAAAAAAACGAATTAGAAGGGTGTACACAAGCAGTGTTGGCGGTAACGCGTTACAAGTAACGGCGTTACCGGTAACGCGTTACTTTTTTTGGTAACGTCGTAACGTACTCGTTACTTTTCCAAAGAAGTAACGGGTAACGTACTTACGTTACTTATTTTGAGTAACGTGTAACGATATTGCGTTACGTTACTTTACTTCCTAAAACTTAAAAAAATTTAATTTAAATTCTTTTTTGTGTGTTTTTAAGTTCCCAGTCATAAATTCCTTAGTCCGAAAATGCCGCTGTCCTCGACTTTTCTTTGACGTCGGTGCTCGTCAGATTTGACGTGACACGCCACCTGCCACTCGTTTTCTCCCGCGGCTCGTTGACCTCGCTACCGCCGTCGCCTCGGCTGGAAGGCCAAAGAGGTCCGGCTTCGGGTGGATATGGGAGATTCCTGCGTCGAAGCCTGCGTTTCGCCTCCCCCTGGGAAAGGGAATGACACCTTCGTGTCATTCTTTTTCCCGTTTTCGGGACTTGAAAAACGGAGGCGGCCTTGAGCGATTGACCGACAGCTGTGTGGCTCTCCGGACTCACGTGATGAGCAGAGCAAGGCCACCGTGGAGGGCACGGGCGAGATTTGACAAAAATAACTTTCCCCCGGCAAAAAAACAAACAAACAAACAACAACAACAACAACAAACAATACGGCCGGAAGCAGAGCGCCGAACGATTCGTCGAAGTCGTGTCGCCTGGCGATTCTTGTAGTGTCCTGTTTGGACATGCAAACATTCCTGCTTTACGGAAACCCCAACACCACGCCCATTGACCTACTTCGACGAACGCTGTCACGGGCAGTGGCAGGCACAATGATAGAAGTCCTCCGAGGTCAACTCCTAATCCTCCGAGGAGAGAGGGTTCAGTTTTTTCTACTATCCTAATCTAACCCTTTCGTGGAACCCCAGGGGCTATTCTTTTTGCGAGAGTGAACCCGCAATCCTACTGCGCCAGAGAGACGCTTCCCAACAATTTCTTCTGAACCGTGCTGGACGCGGATCTTCAAGGTCGCGCACCAGTTGTCAGAGCTGAAGACGATAAAACCCCTCACGAAAGCCATTCGCAAGCAGTTGTCGTCACCTGTAGGATGGCTACGGCAAGTGCAGCTTCATCGCCTTGGCCAGGACTCAATAAATACTTCGAACTGACAGAAGCCAAAGATGACAATTTAATCTTTAAGTGCCTTCTGTGTCAGCCACAGCTGAAGCTCTTAAGTTGTGCCAAGTCCTCAAGCTCCAACCTGAAGAAGCATGTAAAGGTAAGCAAAAATTTTTGTTTCTTGCTCTTTATATTTGTAATTTAATTCCGATTTTGCATTGAGTGGGCCCTCAGATGTTATCAATACAGCTTTGGCGGAGTGTTGTGTTATTTCATGTCAGAAAGCATATCGCCATATTTTTAATCAGCAATCTGCTTCTTTGTTTTGCGCAGAAACTACACAAACAAAGCTTGGCTGCGTTCGAGGCCCTTTCAACAAAAAAGAGGGGAATCATTCAAGCGTACGAGAGCCCTGGAGCGAATTCCACACAGCCAACAAAGCAAGCCAAGATCGACGACTTAGTCCGCCATCAGTCCGTGCCTCAGGTGCAGCTTGACAGACTGGTTGAAGATTTTGTTATTAATGCCACGCAGCCTTTCTCGATGGTGGAGGAGCCTTCATTTGTGAAGTTACTAAAAGCAACAGCCCCAGAGAGGAACGTGCTCACGCGTCCGATGCTCATGACACGCCTTAAGGCGCGCTTCGATGCCCTGAAGGACAGTTTGCGCTCAACGTTTCAGAAGCTCCAGTTTGTGGCAGTCACCGCGGACTGCTGGACTCGCTTTCACAGGTACTGTTCTTAGCTCAATTGACATTTATTTACAACCATACGATTGACGGTTGACCTATCGGCACTTCTACCATTTTACTCAAAGACATATGAGTCTGTTGATAGCTACTACGTTTGCTTCCCTGAGTTTTGATGTTTCTTTTTTTTACCTTTTTGTCTGTTTATGGTGTTTTTCAAATATCTAAATTCACGTGAAATTTGCTTTGCCATAATCTACGAAGCCATATTTTTCTTAATATCGATTTCCCTAGCGCAAGCACTTCATTATAAAAAAATACGGGTATCATTTCTAATGTGGCTAACCTTGATCATTATCATATTTTATAGTTCGCTTGCCAATAACTTTCCAGGTGTTACCTTGGTGTCACGGTCCTTTGGCTGGACCCGACAACTTTAGAAAGAAAGGTCGCTGCCTTGGCTTGCCGCCGTATGCACGGGAGCGTAACTTTTGAGCGGCTTGCCACCACTCTAGAGGAGATATTCAACGAGTTCGACCTTCTGGGCAATATTACGAAAGTCATCACGGACAGCGGGTCGAATTTCGTGAAAGCTTTTCGGTGAGTCTCTGTTACATTGTTAAAAATGTTATTCCTTGGTACACGCGTCTATATATTGTTGCGCTTGTGCAGGATCTACGGTGAGGAGGAAGCCAACGATGAAGACGAAGAAAATTGTCAGCCAGTGCATTTGTGTTCGCTGATCGAGAGCGCCGAAGAAGGAAGGCACCGCCTGCCACCCCACCACCGGTGCTCAGCACACACTTTGAACCTCATCGCTACCGTTGACGCGGCTCGTGCAGAGACTGTTGATCAGGAATATTCCACGATTAAGCAAAGTGTGTTCTCCAAGTGCCAAAAGCTCTGGAATAAGCAGGGACAGTCCGCGCAAGCAGCTGATCTGATCAAATCCCACTGCGGAATCTACGTGCCTCGGCCAAATGTTACAAGGTGGAACTCTACCTTCAAGGCCATGGAGGCTATCAACACGTTTCTAGAAAGGGGAACAGACCTAGACGTCCTCTTCTGCAAGCTAGGAATTCCGAGGCTGCTGCCACCTCACGAGCCCAACTTCATCAAGGAGTATTGCAGGGTACATTAAATTTAGGTAGTTTTCGTGACTTTCTTGCTAAAATATTTGTCGTTTAATTACAGGTCATGAAACCTGTCTGCTGCGCCCTGAATGTCCTGCAAGGTGACAACTACATTCACAGTGGCTATCTGCTTCCGACGCTGGACGTCCTCATCAAGAAGATCGAGTATGAGAAGATGGCTGGATTGCGCTACTGCGGACCTCTAGCTGTTTCTCTGTTGGCCGGAATTCACAAAAGGTAAGTTGTGACACGCGTAAATTGCATGAATTGCTTGAGAGAACTATGAAATGTGATGTCGATCGGGAGAGCCAAAAGGGTAAAACCGTCGGTTGAACGGTTTTATGATCAATGTTTCTCGCGTAGAGAGTACGTTTTGAAACTTGTGGCCTGCGAATTCCGCCGTAGGTGATCGCTCAGACGACTCGTTTTCTTTACTCAGTGGTGTTTATTACCACTGCACGCAAAGAACCCATCCGATATGAGGCTTGTCTTCTTTCGCCACGCTCCCCTTGGAAGCGGGGAGTCCCGCGCGCCTACGAACTTCGCTCCTTTGGATGAAGTACAACAGTTATTTCGCTAATACAATATACATTTCGCTGCTGCAGGTTCGACAATGTGATGAGTCAGAAGGACCTGCTGGTTGCCGCTACACTGCTCCCGAGATTCAAGCTGTCGTGGATTTCGGATGAAGCCAAGCGAAATGCGGCCCTCGCGGCCGTCAAGAGCGAGCTGACAGTCTCTTCGCGGCTTGTCGAGAGCCCGGCTTCCCCACTAAAAGCGAACGCAGCAGAAGAGGATTTCTTTGGAAACCCGTTTGGAAATGCATGCACCTCCGTGTCCGGGGATGATGAGCTTTCACGGTACTTTCTGGTACCACACAATTTTGCACTGACGGAGCTAAAAAACAGCTTCCCTCTGATGCACAAGCTGTTTCTCAAAGTGAACACGGCTGTACCATCGAGCGCATCCGTTGAACGCCTATTTAGCGTAGGCGCGGACGTGTTTACCAAGAAGCGAGGTAGAATGTCTGATGCCAACTTCGAAATTCAGCTGTTGCTGAAGTACAACAGCGGAGTGTGCTTCGGGTAACGGAGGAACTTGTTCACAGCAACTACCGGTACTTCGACATGTTGTGAATAAAATACATTCAACGTTTCAATCTCGGCTGGTCTTAATTTCTTTGCTAATGAGGGAGGTCGGTTCTTCTGTTAAGTTCCGTGCCAACATGTCATAAATCAGCTTCATATATACTTCCGCGTTTTTCTTTTAACTATTCGGGTGAAACCCTAAAAAAGAGAGCGTAATTAAGTTTCCGCATGGACATATTTTAGCTATGGCGCTTACGCACATATCAAACGTCGAAACAGCAAATGTTTTAGTTCGTGAATAAAAAGTAACGCAACAGTAACGTGCGTTACTTTTTATCAGTAACGGTAACGGTAACGCGTTCCTTTTATTTTGAGGTAACGTAGGTCGGTAACGCGTTACTTTTATTTGCAAGTAACGAGTAACGTATTTAGTTACTTTTTTTCGGTAACGCATACAACACTGTACACAAGACAGCGGTTGCCGTTGTTTGTGCGCAGTGTGGATTTTACCAAGAAATATGATGACGCAGCACTTGTTCCTAATTCGTGCGCCGCATTGTACTGACATCTCAGATTTAGAGGTAAACTTGTACAGGTTCTCCTCCGCCTGGAAGTATCTTTGTCAGCAAAGGCCACCACTGCTACGGCGCAACGGACATACACTCAATGATGACGGTATTCAAAGTGGCCAGTTTGAATACCAGAAAGGGTGTATTGTTCTTTGAACTTTTTTAAATATTCAGTTCAATTGAATTCAAATTCTTATGTTTTCCTAACAGTGCCTGGGAAAAAAATTTGCTTTTTTGTAAATTAATGTTTCGAAATTTTTGTTTTCTTCGTAGAAGTAGGATAGCGCTGGTTAAGTCGGCATAAAGTCGAACTTCGTTAAAGTTTTACCGAAAATTCGAAGGTTTACCGAAATAGTCAAACCTCAGGTTCGACTAAAGTACGAGACATTTCCAGTGATGCCCGATTACAGATTTATACGTTGCTCATTCCAGGTAGTCAGTTTACTTGTAAACTGATTTATTTGCTTGTAAACTCCTAACCGTTGCTGTTTTTCCCCTCACCATCCTAATGGCGCCCTTTGTTTCCGCAACTTTCCTGACAAGGAATCCTCGAACCAAGACTCCGACAGGAAAATGGTGGATTTTAGAACATCAGTAGTTTATAATTCGGCGTTTCTAATCCGATAATGGACAAAACGCGAAAGACCCGTTTTCAAACCGGCAGAAAAATCGGTCGCTTTTATTATCTGAAGTAATCGGAAAAAGTAACGCTTACTTTTCCAGCAACGGACAATTACTTTTTGTTTTTCTTCTTCTTCGAGTTTTGAGTAATCGAATTGAATACTTTTTAACCGAGAGTAATTGTAATTGTAATCGATTACTTCAAGTAACACATCGCATTTCTGTAGTCACTCGCAACCCGATTAACGCGGGTCGCGGCGAGTTCTGAAATCTCTCGTTATCGTCCCGCTGGCACTTACGGCGTCAACCCATAAGAAAGCAGCCCAAGAGCAACAAATCACGAACCAAGAAACATGAACATGCTAAGACGCGCCTTGCGCAGCTGTCGACTACGAGTTTCGAGGGGGCCTTCCAGAATGAGCTAGCTGTTATCATGTCATGCAGTTTTGTTGCCATTTACCTTACAATGAAAGACAGCGTGAAAGAGAGAGAGAGAGAGAGACGAAGGAAGAGAGAGATTAAGATTAGTAATGTCTTGGAGAGTTTAATTTATATATTAACTTTACCCTCGGGGCCAGGGGCATCACGGAAGGGGATGGTGAATATAAACGCAGAAAACAAAGTATATGCAATATAGTTGAGAAACAGTGGAAACAAAATGTGCAATATGTAGACAGCTGGACGCCAAATATACAGTAGTTAAACATTACTAACAGGTAAACAAACAAAAAAAATCAAGAATTGATGTAAGGATTGCAGTTCAGCGATTCCACTCATTCAAAACTCTCGAATAAATTGCACATAAAATGGATTATAGCAGTAAAGTGGAACGCCGACCTTGTCCTTAATCAAAACGTGGAAAACACTTTTTTTTTACTGATTTGTGAGTACAAGGGTTCCATAAACCGCTGCCGGCCGCGCCATTCTCACGATAGTTGATTCATCAAATTATAATTATATTTCTACAGTAAAAGCGCGTCAATCGACTGTCTAGAATGATACCGTTTCTGACACAGATGAGAACGAGGCTTTTATTGTCCCTGATTGGCGGCTTCTATGAGGTTGTGCTTTGCTTTTTGATTCCGAGGGTCTTGAAAAACCGGTCCCACGAAAAATATTTTTTCTTTTTCCAAACAATATGGTCATTGTGCACATTTATCATTTGCCCGCATGCTCAAGTTTTGGAAAATGCCGAAAATATGACATATTTGCGAGGATATTACATAGGATATATGTTAATGATGGCACGTACCAAATTCCCAGATAGCAATTTCTGTCGACGCATATTCCAGTCAGAGACGATCATCTCATCGAAAGCTGTAACACATATTTAAGCTTTAAATATCCCAAGCGAACAAGCGGCATAAATGTCAGTTCTTTATGCCAGACTTTTTTTTCTACTAATTTCGCCGAGTTTTAAATGCACTAACATTTTTTTCCGCTAATTAAGTGATATCCTGAAGAGTTTAATTGACATGAAATGTGGAATATACGTTGCAACCTTCTAATTGGGAACCAATTTTCACCGGCAACAGGGAAAGACTCATTAATAAGGTTCATATTAATGGAGCAGGGTAGCACTAACTCATAGAAGGGAAAAAATACTTTGCGCCACAGTGCATTTTAACATAGTGAAGTTCTATAGAAAGATAAGCCCGTTCTTTTCAAATTTAGGTGTAAGTGAAAGAAAAAAAAAAAAACGCCAACTTTTATTTAAGTTTGAAATAATCTAAACGAGGCTTTAACAGAACGTTTGCACATACGATTGAAATGGAACAAATTCGGATAAAACATCTGGCTGTTCCAAGCATAAACATTCACCGGAAGACGCTTAAAGGGGCCCTGCAATCATATTTAAACGTCTACCTTTTTCGCGGTTTCCACGTCTCTTGGGGTTGGGGCAAGCCAGCGGGCACGGAGAGAGAAACTAAATATCAGTGCATCATATTTTAACCGGACGATGCGGAAACCTCCTCCACCGACGGGGGCGATCCGCGGTACCGAAAGCGCTCGAAATGTGACGTCTTTGGTCCTGGGCTTACTACTGGTCAGAGCCGCTAAAAGCTTCTTTTTAGTCGAAATACAAAATAGAAGTGGCGCGAACCGTTTCAATTATTTATAAAAGTAGTTTTTGTTTAGTATTTTAGATCAGAAAAGAAACAAATGCAGTTTATAAAGTACGGAAACAAGAAATGACCCGTCGACATATCCGCCACCAAGCGGTGGAAAAGCCGGCGCATACTAGAAAGGAGTAGTGGGATCAGGCACCGACACGGAAAGGTCCCGGAAGTACGCGGCGGCGCTGCGGTCGTTTACGGACTGGAGGATCCGACCGGCTCCGAGCGTTCCGAAGGCCTTCAGCGAGTAGCTTTGTCTTGTGTTTTGGCCATTTCGCGTTACGGCAGTGGGAAGCGACTCCCATTCTGAACTGATCTTTACCGCGTGTTGGCTGTCGTTTGTGGCCAATGAAGTGTCATGCCGAATTAGTGTTTAATCGCGCAGCAAATGCAATGAGAGCCGCTCTTACTGCCCGCTGTATACAGCCTATCCAGAATACGCTTTAGTGGCGCCCTCTCGCTCCGTCAACACGGAGTGCGGCAGCCGGGAGCGCTCGCTGAGCTCACTATTCCTCCTCTAGTTCACGGCCGCTCAAGCAACCAAGGACGTCATGAGGGAGGTTATTTTTTGCTTGTTTTTGTAATATTAATCTGCCTATAACTTTTAAAAGAAGGCGAAATTTGAGAAAAAAAAAAGTTACATTAAGTTACTACGGTCAGTGCGCTCAGGTTTGGTGCAAATTCAAAATCAGTAAAAAAGTGCTTGCAGGGCCCCTTTAAGCCGGAGTCACACTGCTTATTATACATCATTCAAAACACAGTCTGCCTATACAGATTCGAACGCGAGTCACCGCGAGATCCGTGCTTCGAATGCCGCATGGCAGTGAGTTCAGGAAAAAACTTGGTGCACGGCATTCGAACCACGGATATTGCGTTGACTCGTGTTTGCAGACTGTCTTTTGTATGATGGTATGGGCAGTGTGACCCTGGCTTAAGCTTACATCAGCCCTTGGGCATGCTCTGAATGACCACCTTACCATTATTACTAGCATTTTTTTTTAGCGTGGAACTGCGTGCGACTTCTTTCTAATGCACGACTACTCCAATTAAAGATGAGCACAACGAAATTCTACATCCAACATATATTAACGTTCAAATCAACGTTTTCGTCCCCACGCTGGCGCGTTAGAACTTAGATCTGACTATCGTCTCGAAAATGTCGAAAGAGAAAAGGCGAGCGTCAGTGGTTCACTGAAAAACACCAAAGCTCGAACGCACCCTGTTAGCTACTGCAGTACAACCTACTCTGACCCCTTTTCGCAGCTTCAGTTTGCGGCCGCTAGGTGTGCTGCATTCTTTTGTGTGTTTGTGGTGCTGAAAGAACGACTACTTGCATTTTTATATTTTCAAGCATGAGCCACGGCCCACAGGTATCTTTGGGAACCTCGCGCTTAGGCGCGAAGAGATGCGAGTACTTGGGTGCAGCCGCTTCTCCGTGACCCCAGAAAATCTGCGAAAACACGATGCTGTGGAAAAACCTTTTGCAAAAAGCGCAGCACCGTCCGCGATGCCGAGAGGTGTGCAGAACCGGTTGTAGCAGACGATCGAGGCGACGGTAGAGTCGCAGGCGAGCGGGCGAAGCCATGCGAGCAACTGCGTACCCTTTCTTTCCAGTGTGAGTGCTATAGATGCCGCGGGGGAAAAGGACCGCGCTGGGCTTCGCGTGCGACCTTTTGAAATTTTTTATAAAAGGTCTATTGAGTTTGTTTTTATATATATAGAAGAACCTTACCCTTTCCCCCTTCCCCTATGCGAAGTAGTAAACTAGCCCCACCTGCGCGACTAACCCCTTCGCCCTTTGTCAATAAACTGTATTTCTCTTTTTCGCGCTGACTTGTCGACAATAATTTCCAAACCGCTGTAAAACAATACCAGGTTTGAAGTTTTTCGAGATTCTGTTGCAAAGTTCGATACAATTCGACTAAATTTCGACTCACGAAAAAATTGAGAACGAACTGATTGCACCGCAGCGAGAGAA